AATGAAACTTAATGACTGATGTACTTTTATGCAAATTAAATAATATTTTTTATCAGAAATTATGCAGAATAAGTTGAAGTGAAAAATAATAGTTATTACAGCGATTTTTGTTTAAAAAAGTTACTGTTTCCAGATAATAGGAAATTGGTCATTCTAGTATTAATCAGCATCATTTTAACCAGTTCTTAAAATCACATGCTTTCAACTAAGGTTTCTAATCTCATATGCATAAATTAATTTTACGTCTCTGATTTACATACTATTAAATTTTAAAACTTAATTCCAGCTAACAGATTACATTTTAATAACTTACATAGAATGTGTTCTTATTATACACTTCATCATTTAATATTAAATATACTTTAGATCATAGTAACTGATTGATTTAGATTGAACATACAGTAAAATCTCTATCCAAACTGCATTAATCACAATGATCAATAATAAAAATATCTGCTTATGGTACATAAAGTAAAAATGGGACACAAAATACATAGAAATGAATATTTTAATACAAAGAGGTTCATTAAAAAAGTAATTTTAATTGCCTAGTAAAAAGACTAAAATTACTTGCATAACAGAGATTTTAATGCAATTAAAATTGATCAAGCAAAAATTGTTTCTCTGTCTAATAATTGCAATATACATTACTATACCAATGCAATTTCTATATTCTATATTTATAAATTTTCTGGTGTTATCAAATACAACACAATTTTACCAAGTAAAAAAAATGCATTCACATCTATCTGCAATCTAATAACTTTACAAATCTTGAGATCACATACTTTCTGATTTAATTCAGAAATTAAAGATTTTAAAAAACTACATATTGCCACTCATATTTAAACTGCGATGTTACACATACTAAAATGATGAGTCTGTCATCTCCTGTATTGTTTTACCAATTACTGGAAAAATTATAACCTCTGCTTGACTGTTCATGTTTCAAATATTAATATTGATGTAATTTGGATAATGCATTAATATAGTACAAAGTCCGAAATCTGGACTCGTCGGGACTTCAGCGATTCCGGTTTTGGGATCTTTCTGGGTATTAGATCATCAGTTTAACTCTAGTAAGATGGCATGTAGAAATTATAAAATTAAAAACATGAAACAGTGATTTATGAAATAATAAAGTCTTTATTATCTAAAGAATATCAAAATTTACAGAAAAAAGTTTAATATTTATTTGTTTACCTTATTAAACATTTCTTTCAATGTAAGTTGTTTAAGTTGTTTCGTTTTTTATGCTAATACTTTCTCATTAATTCTGTAGACAGATACAATCTCTTGTTCAGTTACATTGTTGAAGTCCTGTAACTGCTATTTCAAGAATTCTGACTAACTTGTCAATCGAAATTTTCTCGTTTTCATTAACTTTGTTACTTTCTTCACTATCGGCAGCAGTGGATTTAGAACCATCTAGATTTCGCCATTCATTAGTTGATTGACGATTGAAAAGCATTGTTATCAGAATGAAAAACCTTTTTTATATCATCTTCATTTATTATTGCTTCTCCACATTTCTTTACAAAATCCGTTATTTGGAAAATTTCACCTTTGTTTTCAGATATCTGAAAACCTTTAAAATCCACTGCTATTATCATCAAATTTAGCTAGCCTTCACTATACATATTTGGCTATGCATCCTGAGCTTGGCAACTAACGACAAGTTGTTCCCTTAAATTGTGTCTTGCTTCTATCGTGCACTGAGACAATTAAGCCTGAATTGTATTAGTTTAGTTATTTATTATACTTATGTTTATTTCTTGCACATGTTTAAGGCTTATCAGAGTTCTGAATAAATAAATTCCCACATGTACTTATTGAGAGCCGGCACTTGATAACTTACCCCCTGTTGCAGTGTCTGTGGGTCCTACATTATGAGACTCAATGCGGCCATACGAGCCCTGGCGCTGGTTCTGGGTTTATGTGAATAACAAATCAGTTATTTTTAATTCAAATAGCCTTAAATGTAATCTTTGGGTCTATGAATATCATCAACAAAATTTATTTTTAGCATATGGAAAGAAATTTTTGGTAAATTTTTCCTCGTCAACAATTTCTAGCACATTTAACTTAAATCTGTAATCATCGCCAAGCGTAATGTCAACATAAAAGGTTACTATACTCGTTTATTATTCAATTACTAACATAAAAAATTTGTTTAGGCATCACTACATGAGTCATTACTCAAGTTTTTCATGTTTTGATAAACATGCGGTGATGAAAGGAAAGTATAAAAAATAATGATTCGCCATGTGGAACGTTTGGTTTTGAGATGTGTGCCAAGTAGATATGCAGCAACGGAGCCAAATTACTGATCGTACAAATTTATGCTAAAATTATTGTTTTTTCAATAACAAGATATAACCTCTGCTTGACTGTTCATGTTTCAAATATTTATTTAGTGTCGAAGCGAAATTAAGAATTGGGACTCTCCAGATGTTTTATTATGCGCAGAGGGGGAGGAAGAATTAAATGCGCATGCGTAAAGCCTATGAAAAAAAAACTTTGTCGATGGTTTGACCGGATTTTAGATCATTCCGGATAATGGACGTCCGGATTTCAGACTTTGCATTGTATTAATCTTTGAAATTTGAGCAACAGAACATAGGAACTTCTGTACTAGTCACCTTCAATATCACTCGTTTATTTATAAATATTATTTTTATGCTTTATCAAATCTCCTTCTTGAATGTCTCAATTACTATGAGAATAATTAAGGCATTTAAAGTAAATATCGAACTATATATTTATTGATTCCTTAGTGAAGCATCCACAATCAGAAAATCAAAGAAAGAACAAAATTTTTCAAAAACTGAACCCCTTACAAAATTAGAAATTTTAGACCAATAACAACATGAATGAATGGAAATAAAACAAACATTACTATATTATTATGAATCACAGTTATATAAACTAATACAGCACATCTTCTTTATTTTATAATAATCTTTTTTATCTTTAATAACTTGCATATTAGGACACAACTCTCACACAATTTTCTAGGCATGGAAAAAATTCTCAGAAAAGTTGGTACGAGATCTGCTCCGCATGCTTTTGTACATATACCACCATTGCACAGTTTATGAAAACTTGATTAGTTGATTTCAATGACTTTGAAACAGCATCAATTATTATCTATTAATGAATGCTTAAAGTTTTTATGCATTTTTAAAAAGAAGCAATAAATATAAACTCAAAATAAATAACTTAAAGACCCTCTTTAAGTTGTTTTGTGAAAGTCGCAGCACTGTATCCAATTAAGAAATTATAATACTCAATTAAAAAAAAAAAAAAGGAGGAACTAATTTTACATGAATTACTACTAATAACTTCTCTCCCAAAATGGATTAATTAAAAGAGCTCTGTGTACATTATACAAAAGAGTCATTATAACAGCCCTTGCATCCTAATAAAAAAGGAAGTTATAATCAGTGGTCACTACAATAAAAATGAATTTCACATACTCTTATCACCTAGGAATTCTTGAGTGGCTGTAATAGAATAGTCACTATAAAAAATAGAAGAAGAATTCAAAGTATTAAAATGGAAATAAGAATCTACAGTATTAAAAAAGTTAAAATAACTACAATACTCTCAATGAAACTGAAAGTTTCAAAGATTGAAAATGCTTAAGAATTGAGATTGAGAATGCTCCCCAAATTAAATCTTTAAAATTTTATAAGAGTAATAAAAGGGAAGTTTTCAAAATTTAAACAAAAGCTTACAGCACTGCAAAAAACAATACACTGCCATATATTCAATAAGGTTAGTTCACTTTCTTGTTCATAAATTTTAGTTTAATTTTTATTTAACATCATGTACTAAAATTTATTAAATGCAACCTACAAAACATACTATAAAATTTTTCAGAAATACCATGTAACATTTTAAATATTGCTATGCAAATATTTTTTACACAAATAAATATATTTAGACTCTTCATCTTTATAAAAAATTATTAAATATATCTCTAACATTTGATTTAAGTGAGAAAAAGAATTTGACCTTTAAAGTTTTGTAAGAATAAAAGGAATCCGAACAAAAGCTTAAAGCACTGTAAAAAATAATACACTATCACATATTCAATAAGGTTAGTTCACTCTCTTATTCATAAATTTTAGTCTAATTTTTATTTAACATCATATACTAAAAATTATTAAATAAAACCTATAAAACATACTATCAAATTTTATAGAAACATTATGTAACATTTTATATATTGCTATGTAAATATTTTTTACACAAATAAGTACATTTACATTGTTTATCTCTATTAAATATACGTAGCGTAATTGGAAACTAAGTACCGTTCCATTCTAGCGCCGTCGCAGCGCTGTGGTAGGTGTCCCGCGCATGCGCACTAGTCTTTCTTGTTCACTGACTTTCAATTGTCGCCATTTCGGTTGCTCTACGTTGTGTTTTCAGTTTGCTGTGCACATTCAAAATGTTTAAGACAATTAATTCTCCCGCTGACTGTGAGATTTGTGCCGTGATTAAATTTTTGAACGCGAGGAATGTTAAACCGGCCGAAATTTATCATCAAGTGACAGAAGTTTACGGTGAATACGCGATAAGTGATGGAATGGTGAGAAAGTGGGTAAGAATGTTTAATGCAGGTCGAACAAATGTCCACGTCGAGGCTCGGAGTGGTCGGCCTTCTGTTGTCACCGTTCGTAAGGAAAGTTGTTGAAGCAATTAATGACAACAGACGCTTCACAATGACAACTCCTTCAGAGGCATTTCCACAAATGAATCAATCAACATGAAGCGCGAGCTTGGTGGCAAGCGCTTTGGATCTGACGATGACACGAAAAATGCTGTGGAGTCGTGGTTATCGAAACTGGTGAACTTTGACGATGGTATACAAAAACTGGTCACCCGCTATGACAAGTGTTTGATCATTGGCAGAAACTATGTTGAAAAATAGTTTAAGACATGTATTTTCATGTAAAAATAAAATTGGATTCGAAAAAATTGTTTTACTATTTTTTTTTTTTTTTTTTTTTCAAAACGGTACTTAGTTTCTGAATATGTCTCATAATTAAATATATTTCTAACATTTTATTTTGGTGAGGAAAAGAACCACAGTAAAAATATTCAATATTCCTCTTTGATGTCTTAGCCCAAGTACTATGGACTATATAGCAATAAAATTAGCTTTCTTTCCTTAAGCAAATTTTGTACTACAAAGCAGCACAAGTGTGGGTTTACACAAGAATGCATCAAAGGTATTATAAAAGAGATTTATCTAATTTAATTATGAAAAATTTATGAAATATCAGCACCATCAAAATTTTAAAATTAATTTCAATAAATATCTACATTCCTTATTGATTCATTTTACGAATCAACTAAGCACAGCAATTTCAAATTACTCAAACATTCATGAACATCATGGTTTTAGGTGACTGCTAAAAGAGCATCATGAAGTCGCTTTGCTTGATAACTGATATCTTCATCTTCATCAGATGATAAATTAGAAAGGCTTTTAAATTCCGTCTGTTTTATATACTGATATAAAATTGATAACAAAGTTGTTTTCGAAGAACTGTCCACATACTCTGCAGCATAAGTAGCTATATTTGCCAGGAATGTAAGCAATCTAAGCACCAATTCTCGGTCATCAGGTTTTCTGATTATATCCAAAATATCAGAAGGCACCTAAGACAGAAAATATTTATTTTAAATTCCATAAAAAACAGAATAAAATAATATCAGTTCATAACCTTTAAAATTTATTTCTTTCAAGAGGAGTATATAAACTAAGTCTAACCAGTTTTATTCAAATTCTGCACGATTACAGGAAAACTAAAACAATATATGTGTAAAGAAAAGTGCACACCTTTGAAAAATAAGCAAGAAAATCAAGATTAAAAGACTAAGCAATATTAATTCCCATCCTGCTGTGAGCAATATAAGACTCCTGATATCATAGGGAGCAGTATAAGACTAATGATAGTTATTAACCAGAATTTCTCAGATTGAATTCCTTTGCTATTAACATCTTTTTTCAGAGCTGTATTTAATATTTTTACTGTCATTTGATTTTGAAAGAAAAATCTGCTCATGAAAAGTATTTTTAAAGCTATAATATAAAAAAAAAATTGAATAAAAAAAGAGTATTTCACTTTCTTATTTTAAGATATTTTACTTTTCAAAAAATTTATTTACAAATGATATAAAAATATTCAAGAAAAGAGAACTGGGCATTTTGTACATTGAATAAATTATGATTAATCACAATTTAAATTTTTATTCATAATACAATACAGGGAGGCCTCCTGCAATGCAGTAGATAAGGTCGTTCTTTATGTTCTCAGGCTATCTTAGGTCTCAGGTTTTGTTTATGCTCTCAGGTTAGATTGCCAAGGTGCACATGACAATGACACACTTATGGTAGCTTGGCCCATTTTGCCTTTTGTAGTGGGAACACAATTTAATGTTTTTATAATATTATTAAGATTTTCTGAGTGGATACTGATATTATTTAATGTTTTTGCATAGTTATTAAGATTTGCTGTGTGGCAACAACGAGTTCAGTTCAAAAAGTTATTACTTTGAGCATTCCAAGACAATCGTTCTGTCAGCCTCGCTCCTTAAACAGCTTTGTTATACTATTTTTATGTTAAAAATAAATATGCTATTTTTTAAAGACTAGGTGCTACTTTGTTAGACGGTTGCAAGGATTTTTGGCGATTTACGTTGGCGCAGTTTTTACAGTCGTCAGCCATCTTGAAAAATGCTGTTTTTACATATTTTACTCATATAGTAAAGTATTCAAAACTTTAAAAAAATAAATATCGTTAAAAATAACGGATTAATTTTTTGTTGAAACGCTTTTTTAAGAGGGCTGGCAAATGTAAATAAATACATTTACTAAGAATATAAAATGCTAAAGTAAGGTTAAATTATTACTTTCATTTAATAGAATAAAAACACCACTATAAAAACATTGCGCCAACATTTAATTGGATTAAAATATTACTTAAATTTAGATACTTTAAAATAAGTTTCATAGGATTTAATTATTTAACATTAAAACATAGTATGTGGCAATAAATATCTCAGAAATTTTTGAAAACCTTGCTTTTTACATTGTTGTAATTTTTTAATAAAAATTTAAGTATACAATTATAAAGTAAAAGAAAAATATGTGTTTTTTAAAGTATTTTACCTGTCATATATTGATAAGTACAAAAAAAAAAATCTTCATCTGTGATCCACATCTCTCGCACTTCACTGAAGAAGCAATTGGCAAGGTTTCCTCCAAAAGTTTAAAATAAATTTTCTCTGACGCTTATAACAATTTATAAATAAATCTTTGATTAGGAAAGCCAGGTTGGCCAAAATAAGGTCTCAAAGGGCAATTGTTTTATTCCGATACCAATATTTCTTGGTAAATACCAATAACAACATTCATCTTCGAAATAGACATATCCATTCCATTTGAAAACTGAGGAATTCGAAGAGATGAATAATAAAATTTTAAAATAGTGCGGTAATGCACAAATATTCAGTAACCAATCAAGAAGCTGACTACATCATGCATAGAATTAAAATTAGTTAAATAATCATTCATAATAAACCATTTTTAAAAAAAATACAAAATTAAACTATATTTTAATATTTAACAGCCATATATAATGTTTAAAACATTAGATTAAATTTATAGCTATTAAAACTTATTACTTTTAAAGTAAGGAGACGTCATTGATTACATCATCCACAACATAAAATTTCATAAAATATCATAAACAAATAAAAATTTTATTTCAAATAAAAATGCAAAATTAAATTGATTTTTAATATTTGGAAGCCATAAATAATATTTAAAACACAGAATTTATGCATAATAAAATGCATTATTTTAAAAATAAAATGACAACAAAGTATCGGTTACCATAAATAACTTATCCAGCAATGGGTTTACCATTCAGTCGTATTGCTCGCCAAAAAATTGCCAAAATCCGTGCAAACGTCTACCAAAGTAGCACCAAAGACTAAAAAAAAGCATTTATTTTAATTATGAAATGCTCTGGATGTTTTGTTTCAATTTTGATTCTCCATCAATACCTACATTAAAAAACTGGGGATTAACATTGGATTATGGAAAGAACTTCCTCAATGCTGGAAACTTGTAAGGTGAGTGTTTAAATTCCACCTTTTTTGTCAGAAAAGCCTGAAATTTAGATTTTTCAAATAGAAGCTCAATTCAAAATTAATGGAATAACTGGTGATAATATCAAATTTAATTATGTAGTATTTCAACTAGTGCCAAAATATGTCGAAATTATTTTGGATGACATTACAGATAAAACATCTGATAATAAATATGCTTTAGTTAAAGAAAGACTGTTAAACACATTCGAAGAGAGCGAAAACAAGCGAGTGCTTAGTCACTGGCCTTGACCTTGTGGATATGAAACCCAGTTAGTTATTTAAAAAAAGATCGCTCACTACTGATTACATTTCAAAACATTGTGATTAAAGAAGAATGCCTGACTCCATCAAAAATATTTTACTGGTTTCCAATGAAGAGTTAGACAAAATATCATTAATGGCCGACAAAATAATGGAAATGAAGTCAAAACCTGAAATTTATTTCACTGGCAAAAAATTTTAATTCGGTTAATGAGTTACTGGTAAAAATTTTTTCTTTGGAAAAACAAACAGAAACTTAAAGTGTTTCTTGCCAATCTCGGTCTTGAAATCATAGCAGTGATAGATACAGAGAGCAGAGTAGAAGTAATAAATGTAAAAGATTTAATCCGAATGGAAAGTATTGTTATTACCATTGCATGTTTGGCTTAAAATGCATTCCTGAAAAATGTCAACCGAACTGCTCTTGGAGCCAAAAGAACTCAGAAAACCTAGACCAGCAGTGGAATTAGTGGCTGATTTTGCTGCAGGTTATGTTCAGTTTGGCTGCAAACACCAAATATTTGTGACTGACACACACACGGGTTTGTATTTTTTGAGTGATTCCAGAGCAGTTTTTTGTTTCTGCTAAACTTCAAAGCGACTTAAAATTATATGCCACCAATGGCACAGAAATTCCCACTTATGGGGTAAAATTTTTAATGCTTAATTTCGGCCTTCATCGAGCTTTTCAACGGCCATTCATTGTTGCCAAAATCAATAAATGTATAATCGGAACAGACTTTAATTCATTTCAAGTTTTTAATTGATTTAAACAACAAAAGATTAATTGATATTGTAACTAATTTTACTACTCAATGTGACATTACATCCATTCCATAATAAGCTTAGTACATGGTAAGTTAAAATATCATGATCTGTTATCCAAATATCTGAATATTACAAAAACTAATCTCTAAAAAGAATGGAACCTTTCATCCTTGTCGAGATTATCAAAGACTTAATGCTATAACTATTCCTGATAGATACCTATTTCTAGGATTAATGATTTAACAATATTTTAAAAGGCAAAACATTATTTTCCAAAATTGATCTTTAAAAAGCATATTCCCAGATTCCTATAGCCGAAGAGGACAAACAGAAAACTACCAAAATTATGTAATTTGGCCTCTACAAATTTAATGTAATGAGCTTTGGATTGCGAAATGCACCAGCTACTTGTCAAAGATTTTTACATGAAGTATTTCAAGGTTTGGACTTTACTTCTCCACATCTTTACATCATATTAATTGCTTCTTCCTCAAAAGAACATCGACATCACTTGAAACTTGTTTTTGATAGATTAGACAAATACAGTTTGAGAATCAACATTTCTAAGTCAGTCACAGGTGTTGATAACTTAGAATTTTTAGGATATCTTATAACACCAGAAGGATCTTGGCCTCTACATGTAAAAGTCAAAGCAATATTGGACTATAAATTACCACAGACTATCAATGACTTGCAAACTTTCTTAGGGATGCTCAATTTTTATCAACCGTTTTCTGAAAGATGCTACTAAGACACAAGCAATACTTCATGAATACCTAAAGGGTGCTAAGCAAAAAGAAGAAAAATGAAGTGGTCAAATGAAGCTATACTAAACTTTGAAAAATGTAAACAGGATTTGGCAAATGTAGCTCTTTTAAGGTATCCCAATTCAGATTTGCCTTTGTCACTATGCACAAATGCACCTGATTGGGCTATTGGTACAGCTCTCCAAAAGTTTGAAAATGGAACATGGAAATCTTTAGCATTTTATTAAAAAAAATTAAGTAGCAGTCAGAAAAATTACAGTACGTATGATTGCGAGTTACTGAGAATATATTTTGCAATTAAGCATTTTAAACATAAGTTAGAAAGAAGGTCACGATTTCAATATTTTTATGGACTGTAAACCACTATTTTATGCTTTCCGACAAAAGAGTGAATCACCATGACAATTGCAATACATATCTCTACTTTCTAATAATATATGACGTATTAGCAGAAGTGAAAACATTGTTGCAGATCAGTTATCAAGAATAACTGATGTCCCTATATCCCTCATAGATTATGATAAAATTCCAGATAAGCAAATTAATGATAAAGAATTACAAGATTTACACTCAAAATAAAACGTTAAATTTCAAAAGTTATTTCCATCTGGTAAAAGTTTGTGGTCTGATACGTCTTCTTCTAACATTAGACCATTTATACCTAACAGTTCAGAATGGATATATTTCAACAAATATATGGCATTGCTCATCCAGGAATCAAGCTGACTGTTAAAGAAATGAGATCCAAATTTATTTGGCCAAATAATAAAAAAGGATGTACAAACATGGAGTCGTGTTTGTATTCGTTGTCAAAAAAATAAAATTTCATGTCATACAAAGTCTGAACTAGGAACTTAGCAGTAGCCTGATGAACATTTTATCGTAGTTCACATTGACTTAATAGGTCCCTATTCACCCTCTGATAATTTTGTGTATGGCTTGACTTGCATTGATCGCTATACTGGTTGGATGGAAGCCATTCCTTTGCATGACATAACAGCAGGAACCGTTGCCACAGCCTTTTAAGAAAACTGGATCACTCATTTTGGAGTTCCTTACCAAGTGGAGCACAATTTACTTTTGAGCTATTTTATATAGAGACAGTCAAAATTCAACACACAACTTCCTATCATCCACAGTGCAACGGCAAAATTAAGAGATTTCATCAAACTTTGAAAGCTGTTATCAAATGTCATAATTTCATTACGTGGTCTGGTATCCATTCCAACAATTCTTTTAGGTTTTAGAGCAGCATTAAATGAAGACTGGGAAATTCCATTGCACAAATGGTTTTTGGAACAACAATCAAACTTTCTGGAGAATTTTTTCTATAAACCGATGGTTTCTACAACACTTCAAACATTTTTGCATAAATTTCAAAAAGAAATGGAACTGATCAAGCTCCCTGCAGTACAGTGAAAAACGATTCCTAAAGTTTTTGTCCATAAAGACCTGGATGTGTGTACTCATGTTTTCCTACGAACTGACACAGTCAAGAAACCATTAGAACCTAGCAATGAAGGACACTACAAAGTACTTAAAAGAACGGAAAAATATTTCATGTTACAAATCAAAGGCAAAGAAGTAAACATTTTGATTGACAGGCTGAAGCTAGCCTACTGTTTAACATCAAGCGATTAAAGCCTGGAATCCAAAACTTCTGACACCCAGCCCAAGCCTCACACTTTGTTAAAATCTGAGGCAAATGATGAATTGAGATTTTGTTGCTACATAAGCTAGCAGAAAGGAATGACCATTTCTTTGTTAAACAGTCAACATTAACAAAGAAAAATGCTTAGTTTTTTTTTAATCCATTATTTAAGTCTATTAAAATATTTTTTAGTTCTCATGCATGTGCACTTATACATTTATTATTTCTGATAATTTAAAACTGCATCATGAATACATCCAGACAAAGATAACTCAAAAAGAAATCACTCAGTGAACATGTCGAAAATTCCTCAGAAAAATTAAAAGGAAGAGGGACTATAATAAAAATAATATAAAAAATTAACACTTCTAGAATTATTTCGGTGAGGAACAAAATTTCATTTAAAACTGTCTATTACTTCTGTAAAATTGATTAAAAATTATTTTCAAGTTTAATTTTTTTTCCTTCAGAAATTGACCACAAAAGACAATTGTCAATTACATCACAAGGAAAACTATGTATCAACACAAGAAATTTTTATTCATCAGAATAAATTTTTCATGATAAGACACATATTAATTTTTTTGATAAAACAAGAAAATTAATTTTGGATACATAAAAGTCTTTTAAGACTTCAGAAGCAACTTTTTACAAATGATTTGTACACATTTTCATTATAAATATGGATAAATTTTTAAATACCCTAAATTTTAAAAATCAGATTCCCAGTAATGTAGCACTGCAATAACTTAACTTTTTATTTTTAAAATGACACATTTTGATCAATGCTAAAGTTTTTTTTCAGTAAAGCTCAAGACTGTAAAAATAGTATGCCAAAAATCTGTATTTCCTTATATAATTATTCTAACATATGTTTACTTGAATAGCTTAAAAATAACTTAAAAAATTATAATTTAATATAAAAATCTCACCTCACTCATAAGCAATGATGGGATAACTTCTTTATTGCATGACAGGTTAACCAGAAGTCTTAGGGCTTGTAACTGCACAACATTGGTCCCTTTACTGACCATGTACATTATATGATTGATATTTTTCATGATCATTTTATGAGATGCAGAGTCCAAAGCCAAATTCGCTAAAGCAGTTAGTGAAAGAGACTTTAGCAGTTCTTTACCATTGACAGCATGATTCAGAAGAATAGGAATGTGTGACTGGCAGGGAAAAAAAATAACATGATTACAGGTCATCATTTTAAAGGTTTTATTTTAATGTCAGATAATGATAATTTACTGGTTAAGTTAAATTTTGATCATCAACAGAAAAAAATCTGATGTGCACACCACATGACTTCCTTGTACGGAATATTAAATTATACGCATTTTTTCTTGCATTTCATTTAAACTTATTAGATTGAATTAAACCTACTTCGCCGACAGCGCATAAACCACAATAGAATAAATGCATTCTTTAAAATTAACTCTTTGTTTACCATAGCGACACTCTGGCGCTAGGTTTCACTTAACAGTATATATTTCGTTCATATATAAACTCAGAATGCACAAATTTATATCATTTAAAGAATAGAATTATCTAATCGTTTGCCACATGTTCTCTTTGGATACATAATAAATAAAGCTAGAATGATGTATAAAAAGAATTAAGCAACAAAACAAAAAAAGAACAGTTTTTCACAGACGATTGAGTATTTCTCATTCAATTAATAATTCAGTTCTCACTTCGCGAGAAGGCAAAATGCATAAAACTCAAATATCTATATTAAAAATTTACGAAGTAAATCTTAAACGCTTATTTCTTCGGAAAAATTCCAGAAAGGATTAAGCATGATTTAAATAATAAATGAAGGCGTTATTTGTTGTTGCGAAGCTAAGTTTCTCTAATTGGCAAAAAATCCGCTACTCAGCTGTTTCAAATGGTAAAAGACATGGCCGCCATAAAAAAGGCTTAGGCGGCACAAAACAATTTTAAAATTGTTGATAATTCTAAAAATATTGCATAAGATTTACTAAAGGCATAAACTCTTAACGGAAGATAAAAACAACATAATTAATCATTTTTAAAGCAAAAAATGTACAATTTTACAAACATAAGAGTAAAGAAAACTGAGATCATGAGCCGGGTAACATAGTGGATTTTTTATAAATATATTTATATGTTTGGTGCGGCCGATTGCAACCAAAATACGAGGTGCACATCGTACATTTTATAGCAGTCCTATATACAAAATTCAACATTCTGAGGCTTACTCGTTTTGAGTATGCGACGTACGTAATACGTAGACGACACGAAAAATTCTCTTCAGAATCATTTTAAAGCAGTTTTAAAAATTTTTTGAGGAAAGAGTGTTTTAATCTGTCTTTACATACAGATATCACAGAAATACATCATTAATTGCATTTGAAGGTCAAATGGATATTTTCGTTGAATATGCTGCCTGAAACTTTTTGCGTTTACAATATTTCCTTTTTACTTCGTACAAGTAAAAAGAATTGTAAATGAATTACTGTGTACCATTATTGCACATAATCCAAAAAAGATGTCAGAACCTTTTAAACACACACAGACAAACAATTTTTTTGCAAACCAAAACTGCATTTACAAAACAATATATACATTATTAATTGAAAATTTACTATTAACATTGCCTTTATACATAACAGAATATATATATATATATATATATGTTATAATAAAAGCAAGAAAAAGATGGAACACTGTAAATGCGTACTTAGATTCATATTGAAGAATTCTGATTGCATAATATGCTAACGTGTTAACTTATTAATATCTAAAGAACTTGGCAGTCGAGGCGGTTTTAATTCCATTTTTATTTTCCAGTTGACAATTGTTACCACAATCACTTGGCACTAGTCGTGATGTTTTACAGAACATTTACATTTTTGATATTGTTGAAATAGGTACAGAGCAGAATGAAACAGCATCTAAGCAGCACAGAGGCAAATGTTGACGTGCACAGTTATGCAAGATAGAAGCACACAAAGAGAAAGGTTTTGGTTTGAGATAAAAGTTTCATTTTACAATTATTACGTCATCAGTGCTACGCAGGACATGCAAAAAGGAAAGGTCTAGAAATAATGCAATTGAAAGAAGTTATTACGAATTTTAGAACAGAATGGGTAATTGAAAGTTTTACTGTTAGTTTAAATTATAATTTTGATTTACATATTTTTTATCTTACATATATACTGTCATATATAAAATATTTTTGTTTGTGAATATTACAATACTGCAAAGGAATGGTTAAAATTTAATAAATTTATTCCGCATATAACTTGTAGTGAAATAATGAAATGATGGTACTTTCACACTATCTGCTCAGCAGTGAGAAGAATGACTAGGCAAAATGCTATGTCACCAAAGTAGGAAACCCAGAACATAACAAACATGTACTTTATCTGGCAACCCACTAATGGTAGCATGCACACTGTGCCAGTACGTAATGGGTGCCCTTTTGGAATTCCCATGAAGCATATGATTGAACTGTATGAAAAGGTACTGCAAAATACTGCTAGCAAAGTGCTCGATGGTAAGTAACTGGTTTGAGAATAGCCGAGCACCATTTACAAAAACTACAGTCAAAAGTCGTTAATTCGGAC